GTGTAGTAGAACTGCTCAACTTCCGGCGAACCAAGAACGAAGATTAGACAGATCACTGTGTGTCATTCGCATGCTGGCTGAAGCGCCATGCGTTATGCTAACTAAATGTAGTATTAATGAAAACTAACAGACAATGGTGTCATGAAAAGTATACGTTCACGTTGAAATTACTTCTAATAACATCCCGTATACTTTCCTTTGCCATTTTCATTAGTATTGTGTTTGACACACAAAACGTCGTCAAAGCGAGCCCTTGAATTTAGACGCCGGACTCCGGTGGTATTTATATTTTCCCATCTTGATGAAACTTTGAGCATATGTTCTCTTTGGCGTCTTGATGATATTTGTTTAAGTATACAACTGTATATCGAAATCGGTAGAATCTTGTTTGCAAACTCGGCCCACCATTATGCGGCGTACGTGGGTGGTCTTTTCCACCCCACTTCGTCCAGCAGACGGCGCACGCTTTCCATCTACGTGGCGACGATGACGACGCGAGAACAGTTTGGTTTCGTCAAGTGCATAGCTTGTTAGTCGTCCTTGACATCGGCTCTTTCATAATACTGGGCAATGAGAAGATCGGTGTGGAGCGAATAAGCTGCTTCATGCGCCCGTGGGTCGAAACCAAAAGGCAATGCTTCCGCGTTCAAATAGGGGCAAAACTCCAAGCTCCTATAGCCACCCTTTCCAGATTTCCCTCTAAAGTATAATTATGAAACTCTAAATAGTAGCAACCGTAAAGTATACAAAAAACACCGGGGGTAGGCTGATTCCGGTTACTAATATTTTTTAAATTTGTTTGCAGAAAAACTTCCACTCGTATCTTGTGTGAAAAAAAAGAAAAGAAACATCAAAACGTTGCCGGAGTTGAATGAACCGCAGCTTCTCAATATTAGTTCTGGCATCGTACCTTTTGTGTGTTAAACGAGTTTTATTTTTATTTCGTGTGTACCCTGTGTGTGCGAATAAAGGAAATCGCAAAATAGCTCCATCAGTGGCGTGCCAGCCCGCTTCGCCTTTTCAGTTGTATTCTCGGAGTCGAAGGCCGTGGTGGCCGGACCCGAAAATAGTCGTTCGCGAAGCTTGGCATGCAAGCGCGCTTTCGCGACGTCGAAGGGGAAAGCTGTCGTGTGGCGCATCCAACGTGAGCCAGCCTTATATACTCTTTCCGGCCACGGGATCGCAAATCGGTGGTGGGCATCAATTCCTGATTTTCTGTGAGCGCGCGAATATCTTGAAATTTGAAACGGCTAATTTGAGCGGGCTGTATTCGATTTTGTTGCCTGATTGAATATCCAATATTTATGGTTGCGAATATTTTTCGGTTACTGTTATAACACGACACAACGAAGCACAGTTTTACTCCCCGATTTAACAAAGAAATTCCACTTCCCCGGCAGCTCCCTATAAAGATCATATTGATATCTGGGGTTTAACGTCCCAAAACCACCATATGATTATGAGAGACGCCGTAGTGGAGGGCTCCGGAAATTTCGACCACCTGGGGTTCTTTAACGTGCGCCCAAATCTGAGCACACGGGCCTACAACATTTCCGCCTCCATCGGAAATGCAGCCGCCGCAGCCGGGATTTGAACCCGCGACCTGCGGGTCAGCAGCCGAGTACCTTAGCCACTAGACCACCGCGGCGGGGCGCCTATAAAGATCAATGCCGTCAGACCGATTTAGCAAAACTTTTCCTTAAGTGAGCAAAATGTGTGGCGGTTTCTTTTTCATTTGTTTCTTCGAGCGTTTGCGTTAACTCTGTTCCGAAGGAGACTCCCGCCCGTGCAGTTCATTTCGACGAGGCTGCACGCTGCGCCTGCCACGAAACACGGACTCGGTGGTATACGCTGCCACAAGAACCGGTTGCTTTAGTTATTTTTTAACGATTTACGCAATAGGCGGCGCTGATCGCAACTTCCTTACTGGTACGTACGGCAGATCGGAGCATTGCAATGTCGTTTCGCTATAGGCTTCCAAAGCAGCGTCGAGTGGTGCCACTGCATGCTCTTATATATCCACGAAGCTATAGTTTCACCCCAACACTGACGACCCCGCTTCCGCGCAGGGTTCCCGTATGTAGTGCGCCATAGTATTTAACTATTGCTCACTAGCAGTGTTCCGGGCCGAATGTGAAGCGCATGCGCGTACCTGCCCTTGCCGCCGCTTCTTGCAAATCCGGTGGCAAGCCACCTTCGCCGGTAGCGTCTGTCCGTGTGACTCGGCTGCGCCCGAAATTGAGCAAGTAAAGACGCAGGATAGGGTGGCTAGAAGAGTTCTGTAGCTACGCTAACACTAGCAAAGGAGAAAACGACAGACAGCTGATGATGAGCGCTCGTTTTGTTCCTTCTTTGCCTCTTTCTTTGGTGCTCGAATTGTGCTGTGCCTGTTCCCACAACTACCGCATTCGTTCTTACTGTCGTTGAATGTCGGCTGCACATGGACTGTTTCAGATTGTTCTGTCGACATTACGCGCAGGACCAGATAGTTTATTCTAACGCGAGCACCATGCAACGCTACCGATGATTGCGATATGGCCTAATGCGAATTCTGGATACGTGTTCGGGCAAGGCCGACTGCATATACTCCATGATTTCTGCGAAGTGTGACGTACGCCGTTGTTGGTCTTTCTGCGGATACTATATATGTGTGCACTTGGCTGATAAAGAATTGTGGCGCTTTGCAGTAAGTGGGAACTCTTTACGCATTTTGTGATGCCTGGATGTTATTTTATACTCTTCTGCCACGCTAAATTACTTTGGTATGACGCCTATATATGTGGTCCTTTTGCAAACTCAAGCACCAGCGTATCTCTGTGATAGAATGAGGCTTTACACTCCGTTAGATCTTAGTGATATTTTCTCATTTTGTTTCATGTTTATCGGTTGCGCCACCGACGGCGCAACGGCGATGCCGCAGAGACTGGCCCCTAAAAGAGTTTCGCCCTAAAAGTCCGCGCATTTCTCGGTCAGCCTGCGTGAAACGACATGCATAGTTTGAAACGCTGTGAAGGGTTGCTATATACTCAATATAAACGGAGGTGAATTAGTTTAAAACACTGTTGTGGCAGTTCGTGACAATAGTTTGATGGGCTTGTTTGTATTGCACCTGTAGAAAGGCTACAGTGCAACTTTCGCATTCCCCTTGCGTATGCGCCTTTCGAAGCAGCAACAACCTTACGTTTACAGTTCGCTCCTCTTGAAAGTATATGCAAGCTGAACGTTTTCTTCTTTTTTTTTTAATATGCAACTTTGAAAGAATTGCGGAGCTGGGTATATATAGGCTTCCTTATTTCTCTTGTCTATTTCCGTTGTTCTGTCTTCTTTCTTTTTTCTCTTTATATCTTTCTATTTCTGTTTTCGTTGCTATTTTCTCTCTCTTTCTCACTGTTTCTCGCTTGCTTCCTCTCTATATTTTTTTTTCTATTTTCATACGTGGTTTTGCCTGCGTTACGCCAAGTGACAGCGCACGACAGCTCGGAGGGCTCCGCGCTTAAAAGCATATCAAGTCATGATTACTGAAAACGCGCATCTATTTCCTGCAGTTTAACGCACCCAGACCTCCTCCTCCTGCTGCTTCGCGTGCCACACGAAGCGACCTTGTTTTGTTTCGCGAGCAGCAGCTGCGGGCAAAGCGTTCTTTTTTGTACGCCTGTGCTTTCGCGTTCCACGTATACATAACGATCTTTTTTTTTTTTAGCCGCGATTACAAACGAATGAGTGCTGTCAGCACGGGCACTGGTATGTAATATTTGGCGTGGTAGACAAGAAATACGAGCGCTGTGGTATCTACACCTGGTCACCATTATCTATTGTGGGCAATATGCGAGCAAAAGCTTCAGAAAAGCTGAGAAAGGTGTTATAGTATTATGTGACAGATTACTTGTCTTACTTTCAGGGGCTTATACAGAAATTTTTCGGGGGTTGGAGGTCACTTTTTTTTTAATTTGAAGTTGGGGAGCGGGCGAAAAGGAAAATTCGGCAGATTGTCATTTTGTGTTTTCTGTGTCATGGCAAGAAAAAAAATATTTGGGGCCCGGGCCCGGTGTGCTATGCCACTGCATCTCTAGGTTTTTCTTATTCACGACTTTTAGCTCCGAAAATTATCTTGAGGCCGACCGAACAGTGTAGCTTTGAGGCAAAAGTGTGGGCCCGAAAAGCTGCGCCGTCTTTGGCTCTCGCTTTTGTGCTGGTCGGCCGTTTCGCAAGCTCTCAAGACCACCCATTGCCTCCGAGATAGCGCGCCAATCTTGGATATGGTAATCTCGGAGGCAGCAGATCAGCCGTAGCGCGGCACCTTTCTGAAGCTAGATGGCGCCGTGTGTCCGCAAAACGAAAGCGCTCCCGATGGCCGAGCGGAACCGTCGCGAAAACTGTTGCGGAAAAAGGGAGTATGCCAAGCCTTATGCGAAATGCAATGCCTGCCGTTTACGTTTGCATTCGCACGACCAACGGACGCGTGGTGCCCGCTGTGCCTTCGACGGGAACATTATCCGAGAGGAGTGCGCGACAGGCCGAGAGGGCAGCAACTGCCGCGTCGCAACCTTTCCGGGCCGAGAGCAATGCACTGGCTTCTAAGGCAACGTGCGACGCTCAGGTCGTGCGCGCAGTAAAAACAAGGAAGAGCACGAACTCCTCAGGTGCATGACGCGACGCCCCCTCTCCTTCCTGGTGGTCGCGTTGTGACGCGCGCGTCTTGCAGCGCCGCGGTCGGCCTACATTTTCCGCCGACGTCTGTTGGCCGACTGGCTGACGCCGCCGCGTCAAAACGTGGCCGTTTGGTTTCAGCGTCGACCGACGAGGACGTAGCCGACAAGCACCAACGTTCAACAGTGGTCAGTGGCACCTAGGTTTCTCGATGAGAGATGCGCGCGATGAAAAACGTAGCTGCGATCGATAACCGGCAGCGGAGCACGTGGCCGTTCGCTCGCGCCTTAACACCCCTCGCACGTGCGAGCCAGTGACGTGAAGAAAAAAAACGCTTTGGTGATTTGTTTCAGAGCTCATCAGCCAGTGGGAGGCCCTGGTGAGGGAACTGCAGGAAAGCGGCCGCGATGAGAGGGACGCCGCGCCGAGCCAGGCCGACGTGCTTCACAGCATTGACGCGCTTCGCGAGGAGTTGAGTCACGTGACTGCGCTCGTCAGCCGCCCTCACCCAATGGCTGCCGAGGGATTCCAGGCTGTGGAACGGAGGGCGCAGGAGCTCAAGGTAGGCGCTTGTGGCATTCGTAACTCGAATATATTCATTAACGACTTATGTGCGAAGGGCAACAGGAGAAGCGGATAGATTAGTTGGAACGTAATTCGCAATAGTGACAAAGGTCTGTGACAATTTAAAAGGATATAAAGCATTGTATGGTGCAACAAGACATAATGTTGTGGCGCGCATAAAAAATATTTGAGAAAATGAGAATACAAATGCAAGTGTCTTTCAAAGTCACCTTTTTTGACAATGTGTGATGTGCCATCCTATTTTGTGATCAGATGTCAATAACCAATAATTGAGACAAATATTTATGAATGGAATCAATTCAGAATTTAACTCTGGGCATTGATTCACATTTGCCTTCAAGAAGTGCTTTGTTGAAGTTGCACGGAAAACACTAGACTTAGATATATTTTCTTAAAGTTGTGTACTTGCATAATAATTGAATGACATCACGAGATTCACGACTTCAAAAAAGCAATAATTGTGCTCATCGTTTGATTTTGCCATATTTTTTGTTAATGCGGAAGTCAAATAACAAAAATCTTCAAGCTCTTCTGCTTGCTTTATTCTTCTTGCTGTAGACTTATGATAATCAGTAAAGGCTTGAGAATTGGTCAGGCACTTAGAGCTGATTGGCTTTAACAGTAGTAAATGCCCACTGTACACATTTCAAGAAATGGCGATTCAGATTCTGCAAGATTTTCGTTTCATCATTGGTGCACATCTCATGAGATTATGTACATAATTTCTACAGAGAAGGCCATTATAAAAATTGCATATTAGTATGCAGCAAAAGTTCAATCTCTGTTATTCTCAGTGTCGCCTTGCACCCTCCTCGAACATCCAGTACAATGTTTCTGACAAACATCTGAACCTCACGTTACTTCTTTTGTGCAAGCCAACTGAAATTTGTGCACATTTGATGTAACTTTGTAAGACAAACGGCTGTTGATGGGTCACACAAGACTACACACAAGTGCAGGTTCTGCTTCCGGGCTTGGCTGTTGCATAGTTACATCTTTTTCTGTGCAGGTGGCACTGGCTTCGCTGCATGACATCCGCGATTCCCTGCTGGATGTGAAGGTCAAAGCCCACCGGCTTGGCGCCAACAGAGAAGAGCTGGCCATCGGGAAACACATCCAGGCTCTGTACCGCCAGTGGGATGACGCCTACGAACAGTTGAGTGTGGCAGCATTTTTTATAACCCCTTCAGGTGCAAATTATGATCCACTGTCAATAAATGTATCAAATTCGCATGTCATAATTCCAAGGTACTCAGTACCACATGACGAAGAAAGAAAATGAATAAGTAAGCTGTTTTTGGTCAGTTTCAGTAATTACTGTTTATTGGCATGTAATTGCATATCTAATTATTCTGTAGTGAGCTTCAATCCTTGCATAAAATGAATCAAATATCAGACCCAAAATGCATGCATTGATTTCTTTTTGGCTGTATTCGTTTTGAGCAAAGAAAAAAAAATACCCTTGAGTTGGTCTCAGAATGCAGCACGTCAGACGATAGTCAAACATGGTAGTGTCTGCAGCATTAGACAGCAAAATAAGGTTAAATGACTACTACTTGTAGATTTGATAAGCTTGTAGAAATGTGCACACCAAGATTCAAGCCATTCAAAGGAACACATGGGGTGTGACATGCCTCCGTAGATGATGGGTACAATTGTACACACCACCACTGTAGGTGATAATGGTTATGCTCTAGGTGCATGCAAAATAACTAATCGAATAGCATTCTGTCATTTTTGTCTCATGCACTATTTGGGGAACCAATGGACATTGGTTCCCCAAAACGATAGTTAACAAGGTGCTTTAGTGTTCCTCTTTTGCGTGGCTGGTTGACCAGTTTTCTACATTCACCTTCTGATCTGACCTATTGGCTGTATTACCTACCATGACAAGTTCCTTCGCTAAGCTTTAGCTGGTCTATAGGCTTTTACATACATATGCCTCAGCTTTACATATTTAGTTTTATTCATCAAGCGTCATTCTTTCTGTACAACAATAACTAGTTCCAATATTGATGAGGCAAATGGGCAATGATGCCAAAGACAGTATGGAGATGTTATAAATAGTAGTGATTGTTATGGAAATGTCAAGGAAGGAAAGGAAGAAAAAGATCACTTGTTGTTGGGAGGGACCAAGTCTGTGACCTTCAAATAACGCGTCCGATTCTCTTCCCAACTCCGCCACGGCAGCGGTCATCCCTTTTCCATTTCATGGGGATACATGTGTGCATTTGTGCCATGGATACTCGTGGCGCTGACTGACACACTCGCGTTTAAATGCACTAGTATACGCCATAAAGGGGAGCAGGCACAAGTTATCTTTTGGTCCACTTTTTTTCTTGACATTTATATAACAGTTACTGTTAACAACATCCCCTGTACTTTTCTTGGCATTGTTGTCTGTTGGGTCTCATTAATATTGTGTCTAACAAAACAAAAAATGACCCCCTAAGTTTCCACTTCTTTCCTTCATTCATAACTAGTCCCAGCATTTACCTGTGTGCAGGGCTGTAACTAGAGGGGGGTCGAGGTGGTTCTGGCACCCCCAAAACATTTTAATGCTTTAACTTTTCGGGTGGTACTAAAATATCTACTCGCCTTCAAATCGACCAGCTGTAGACAAAGTTAACCATTCGTCACAAAACTACCCCCGAAAAATATTCGTGGGCATGGTCTTGCCTGTGTTCCCTTAATATGAGAATTTTTGGTCAAGCCAACTGAAAGTGTGAAGGGGAGGGGGGTGAGGGTTTGCTTCACTCCTACTGGAACTGAGTATATTGAGCGGTCTACCGCGCCCTATTTTGACAGAGGTTAGCAGACGTCCTGTATGCCTTGCGTGCGTGCCGTGACATCGCTGTTTCGCTCGCTGCAGCAACCCTTTTCGCCAGCGTTTTGTTGAGTTGCGCGAGGTCGGACGCCATAGAGTCAGCCGCGGCCAGCGTTCCTTCCTGTAGCATTCCCGTAGTTGCAAGGTCCTGCTCTTATCTGAGGACCTGGCATTGCAACTTGCTGCGGTGACTCGAGCTGCCGATATCATAGTGGCAAGAGGCATGGCCGGGTAGACGCGGTGTGGGACCACGCGTTGGCCCAAAGACCTCCCCCCCCCCCCCACCATCCCGGGGGGGGGGGGGGTCGAAACACTCTTGCTAAGTTTTGTAGCGTTAGCTACACTGGCCTCGCTGAGCCGATTTCGCGTGGCACTGGTCTGCGCGTGCGCAATGATACTCCGCCGCCGGTGTGCGCGCAATTCGATGCGCTGCGCAGACGATCAGTGGTGCCACGCACCGGAGCCGGCACCTCCCTCGCACTCGGCCGCGGCCGCGCGCGACTCGCCGCCGCCGGTGTGCGCTTTCCAGAGGAGTGCCGTCATAGCCTTGGTAGACATGTGGACGCCGACGCGCGCGCCTTCCCTGTGCAGTCGCCATCTGACACTGCGCTGGAGCCGCTTGATAGCGCCTCTGACTGGCGTTTGCCACTGTGATATAGCCATGGAGAAGGAGAGTGCAAATGCTGCTCAACGGTGCAGTAGAGCGGAGAAGCTTAACTCATCGGATCCCGAAGTAGTTGCCCTTTAAAATAAACATACATGTGCCACATAATACATATGCCGTGTGTGTGTCATTGGAACAGCTGTAAGCATGATGTCTGGAAAGCTAAGAATAATCAGCTGAACCTTTGCTAACGCTACGTATATCCTGGCATAGCTGAGCTAAGCCACTGCCATTTTTTTTTTCTGTCTTTCTGTCGCCCTTGCCGTTTGTAATTAAGTTGCGTTTGTTTACCGCCCCCTTTAGTGCCCTCAAAACTTCGGGGTATTCCCGAAATTCTGTGTCAAGAAAGCCCTAATTTCTCGGCGTTGCATTGCGCGTTCAATGAGGAAAGTGGCTGCAGCGTGCGGAACGGGTTAATTGGGTTAGTGCCCCACTGGGTGCGTGCCTTGCTGTAGCTTTAGGCTAAGGGCTTGGCTGCGCTGCGGGCGCAACACGGTGTGCCTGTAATTAGTGGTCCCGGGCGCCGTGTTCTTCCTCGACCGTGCAGTGATTTGAGTCGAGCAGGAAAAGTTAACTGCTGTGTTACTCTTTTCGGCCCGAAACAGAGGTTCTCCTGTTTTGTTTCGTTTCGTATGTTGCACCATTTGCCGTTGTATAACGGATATTTTTAGCGCGATAAAAAGCAGTGCCGAAAAGAGTGGTAGCTTATACCTTTAAAATGGGCATGGGTGCATCACGTCACGTGAAGGACAGATAGATGGTCACTTAGATTGACGGGGTGGAGACGAAGATATTGCCGCGAAAGGTTGTTTGTCGGCGGTTATTTCGGCGGCTCGTACCTCGGTTATTTGTTATTTGTCGAATAATAATAATAGTAATCGCGTGTTTACAAGCCAGACTCAATGCTAGCGCTGTTGCGCACGCATGTTATACACAAAGCAAACTATTTTAGACAATTTAACTCCGAAGTGCGTTGCACTTCGAAAACGTGCTTGAAGATAACAAGAACGAACAAGCGCTGGGTGCACTGAAAACGTTTCTGTCGGTAACTTTTCTCGTCAACGAGCCGCATCAAATAAAGATCTGATGCAAACTTTAAAAATACTTCATATACCGACGGCGCCGTAGGCGAGGAAGAGAGGCCATATCTTGAGATCGTGCGCTAGTCGACGTATATATCTTCTAATTTATAAATGCGATGGGGGCCCGGCGTGATCGAGCGAGTCCGTGACTTACCGCACTGGGGGCACTTCACCTCAGCTGCAGTGCTCGTGCATACAATCTTCGGCAGATGGCAAGCAGAAGGTTGGAATATCTGGGGCCTTGGAAAACACATTGAACGCAAATATTTTAGAGTATAACCGCGAACATCTCGAGGACGTCAGAATTCACTTTTCGTTGCGTGGTACAAACTACGGAGCTCAGATATGAACGGCACCAGCCGTCATCCCGATTCAAAGGAGATGCTCCCATAACATCCATCCATCCTTAGATCCGTTCAAGGGGGTCCTTGAAAAAAAAAATTGCGTCGTTTCCTCATCGGGAAAACTGGGGCAGGCGAAGCTTCGCACGTGTGTATTTCACATGTAGTAGTAGTGTAAAAACTTTGTTGTACTAGAGGGAATTAGGGTGAAGGTGTGTGGGTCCTCTAGTCCAGGGCCCCACTGGCATTTGCGGCTCGCTGGGCCTCATCGAGCAGAGCAACTTGCCTCTCTCGATCCTTGCTCGCAAGCCAGACCTCTTGCCTCTCAAATGGGTTTCTCCATAAACTGGTAATTCATTTATTTTTCTTCCTTTCTTTCGCGCTATGCTCCTTTTTAACATCCTCTATACTCCCCAAAAAGTTACTACATGCCATTTATTCTTTCATCTTTTTTTTTTTGGGGGGGGGGGGGGGTGTGTTCTGGATACCTTGCACTCTTGGCCTAGAGGGCGAAAGGCGAAGTAAGCTACTGAGCGGTGATAACTTCGCTCCACCATGTGCAGAACCAGCACCCTCTGGACCAGCTAAGGCCTCTATGTGTCCTCCTCCTCGCGCCTACGTCACAACATTACGATTGAGTTGCCCTGTTGGTGCTTTCGGGAGACGGGAGAATTGATTCGCAACTCGCATTCAGTGCACTAACGAGCGCGCAGCATTAATCGTTTCTGAGAACGCGTCCTCCGCTCCCGTCGTAGTGTGATGACGTCACCGAGAAGGGGAGAGGCCTCAACTAGTGTAGAGTAAAAGCCCTTTAGTCTAGAGAGTGTTGGACGAACGCGGTCTTGAAGGGCAGAAGCACGAAGCATGCAGATTTACAGCTCCTCGTTCAATGCCTTGAGCAGCTTGCTTTTCTCGCACCGAATGTGAGCGTGTAGTCTAGCACTGTTCCTCCTTCCGCCGTGGCAGAAATCGAGCTTTTCCCTGGAATTCTCTTCCCGTTATTACGAAAGCTGCCCTGTGCGCTAGCTATTTCAGTGACTCGTATCTTCGGCATACTGCTTCAATCTAACCTCTGCTTTTTTCGATTTTTTTCCCGGACGAAGAATTGGTTAAATACTACTGTTCATCCGTATGGATATTGATAACGTGAGCTCAAATAAAATTTGCCATGACTCTGAGCCATTTAAATATATATATATTCGAAGGTCGTAGGTTCGATTCCTGCTCACGGCTGGTTATTTTTTCATCCACTTTTCTTTCTTCTTTCTTCTTATTTACATTCCATTGGTTCTAATAACTTCCCCTGTACATTCCTTGGCATTACTGTCTGTTATATCTAATTAATATTGTGTTAAAACACGGAAAAACGAGCCCTTAGGTGTACACTTCTTTCCCTTACATATATATATATATATATATATATATATATATATATATATATATATATATATATATATATATATATATCAAGACGAAGCACACAGTTTGTGTGGTGAAGGATCGCCCGTAATATTCTTGCTGAGCGCGCGACTAGGACGCTGCTTTTTCTACGTTGCACGCTAACGTTAATTCGTACCTAAAGTAAGATATCGGAGGTGGGGCTCACTTCCGGAACGCGATTTTGACTCTTTTTTTTTTTCTGTTTAACCTCTTTAGTTCGGTCTCTTTCACTCCGCCCATTCAGCGGCCGCCCTTGGCCTGCATCTCTTGCGCCTGGTCGGCTCGCTCCGGCCGCGGATTAATTGTGTAGCCTCCAAGAGAGATTGTGGTTATATCAGAAGAAAAGAAAGGTGCCGACCCGTAACTGTCTCTCCTTACGAGGACACCTCAACAGGTCAGCAGAGGAATGGGATATGGGGAATAAAAGATATAGGGAGAAGGAAGGAGCGATAAAAAGAATAGAAGGAAAATAGATGGATAAGAAGCCGCCAGCCAACGAGAGGAAAAAAGAAGGAGATAGGAAAGTGGGTATCCGGTCGAAGCAGTCCAAGGGCGGGGTGCCACAATGCGAGAGCTGCACGGCATCAGGAGACCGCGGAGGGCGAACCAGTCGGCGGGAGCTACGCTGAAGTCGGAGATCGCGAGGGCACAACCGTCCAGCTTGAAATCCTCCGAGCGAATGAAACCAATAGCCTCCAAGACCGGCGTCGCTCTTCTAGGGTGCTGCGAGTATCGCCGTAGCCTCGCCTCCTATTCCCTGCATATTGGCTACTATCCCTAGGGGCGTTGTGTTGGTGGGCCACTGAGCACGCGAACCGTTCTTCTCAGATGCCTCTAGTTGCAAGTTTACTATATTTCTTTCTAATATAGTAAGAGAAGGAAGAGCTGAAGGCCATATTGCTTGACAGGGTCGCTTACTAACTACTACGCGCATTCGGCATGCATATGTGGAGCCGCGACCAGGTCTCTGCGAGCGGCCGGCCTTGCTCTGCGGCGCGTCACTTTGCGGCCGTTGCTGGTTGTGACGTCGCGTGCCTGTACAGAAGCATGCGCGGCCTTACAGTCATTGCAGGCATGCTCTGCACGGGTGACCACGGTGGTTTCCTGCTGTTAAACCTCAAGTAAGCTAAACTAACTATAACTAGCCCAGTCAGCCACTTTGTTCAGGGGTCACACACTAAGCAAATACTTCGCGAAAACAATTATTTTGCGCAAACGCTTCGTGAAACAAACAGGAAATAGCGCTGCTGTCTCTTCTTGAGCGCTAATCCCAGCGTGGTTCATTTGTCATTCGGGTGTTTTTAGTCTGCTCCGTTTCTGTGTGAATGCCTTCCTTGGTCATCTTAGTTCTCGCTCGAAAAGGACTGCGAACATGGCCACTGGGAGGGGAGGTGGGTAGAGGGGTGCTGTGTATATGGTAGTTACTACCATCACAAGCATCCCATCACAGCATAAATAGTCTCGATTTGTCCTCATCAGTAATAGAGGGGGAAGGGGCGTCCCCCTCTCCCCCTTCGCCACTGCACGCGGGGACTGTCGCCGAGTGGGCCGACGAGCGGTGGAGCGAATCCTCGTTTCTCCTCCTCCTCCCATCTGGGTCGCGCACTCGCTCGCGGCGGAGTCGGCGGCGGTGCGCATTCTTTCCGCGATGTTTCGCCGCTGTCGCCGTCCTGCCTTGCTCCACGGCGGCCGTCGGTCGCTTGGTCCTGTGCGCGTCCTTCTTGCTTGGCTTCGCTTCGCGTAGGTGAGTGCGTACCGACCACATCTGCGTTTGTTTTGGTTGCCTCCGGGAGCTGTCTTGTTCCTCCTGTACCACCTGTGGTGCCGCTCTGCGATAGCAGTCGCGCAGTTTTGAAATGCTGCAGTGTTTGTTTCACAGATTGATTTCCATCCGACCTTTAATCTGGCATGTATTGTGCAGTGGCATGTATTGTGCAGTGGCATGTATTGTGCAGTGGCATGTATTGTGCAGTGGCATGTATTCCTCCACCGCCCCTGGGCTTGGTGAAAAAGCATATATCCCACGTAAAGCGAACACTCTCGTGAACTGCTCGGCCCGATTTTGTTGTCTTGCGGACTGTACCAGGCGCCGGCCCGTACTCGGCCGCTTCGTCGCTGCCGGAATTCTTCGTTTAGCTGATCGTCGCAGTTGGCCGATAGCTGATAAGTTGTGAGCGTCGTTTTGAATCGTGTTTTTTTTTTCGCGGTGTATGTTAGTTAAGTAAAGAGGCAGAAACAAAAAAAAAAACTTTTTATTCGGGTTTCGATGTGAATGACGCACTTCCGGGAAAGGACAAATGTCATCTGCTCAGTAGACGCACCAAACTAGGCGCGCACTGAGTTCAGGAAAAAGTGCACCTACGAATTGTGCTTTCGGCTGCTGGGCTAACCGTCGTCGGTATGAACCTGGACACCAGCCGAGATGCCAATGAGCCACAATTCGTACGGTTATCCGCACGCATCGATTTTCCGGCTGTGTGTATGCGTGCGAGGGCTCGTTCTCCCGTGTTTTGACACAATATTAATGAAATCTAACAGACAACAATGCCAAGTAAAGTATAGGGGAGCTTATTGGACCAAATTGTAAGGTAAATGTGAAGAAAGAAAAGTAGGTGAAAAAATAACTTGCCGTGGGCAGGAACTGTGGGCAGGAACAGTGGACAGGTTTCTGCCCACGGCAAGTTATCTTTTCACCCACTTTTATTTCTTCACATTTACCTTACAATTCGGTCAGATAACATCCCCTATACTTTACTTGGCATTACCGCCTGTTAGATTTCATATATATATATATATATATATATATATATATATATATATATATATATATATATATATTGTCCGCCGCATACAAAAAAAATATTCCAGTGCTCTTGCCCGACTCCAAAAGATTTATACTATGACAGGTTCTCCCGAGGAAGGCCTTGGCAAGTTTTTTTTTTTTTTTTTCTCTCTTTTTCATTACTATGCATTATTTCTGTGCAGTGTATTGTAGATTAAATATTCTGTTTGTAATGTCTGGTGCACTTTTTGTCTCCTTTCTGGCTTACTTTGGTAATTCGGGGTGGGTTGACTTGTTTTAAATGTATTGCTGCGATTGTGCAAATAATGTACAAGAGACGGTTTACTGCAGTAGCATAACGAACCCCGAGTGAAAGAAAGCGCTGATGGCAGACTACAAATAGACTGTAGCATTGTTGTTTTTTTTAATTTGCTTGCTTAGAGTGCTTTAGGCCGACCATAGGACAGAGGTAACTATAAGTGTCTTTGGGGTTACAGCAATGCATGCTTCATGAATGTGCGTTTAGACGAGGTGCCAATTTTTCTCAAACTTGGGAACAACTTTTTTCAGGAGTGGCACCAAGCTGACCGAACTGCAAAAGATGAAGAGTGAGGAGATGTCGCCACAGTGTCCTCTAGCTGCAAAGGTGAGAATTTTCGTTTGAATTCACACATACTCAGACAGTTTTAAAGATTAACATCTTGGGTCAATGTTGAAGTTTAATCGTTCTTACAAAAATATTCGGGTTACATAATACGTAGAGAATCACGAGTTCCGAAAGTGAGAACTGTCAGGGGGACCTGTTATCATTAGTTGGGTACATGGAAGCAAGTAGCAGCAGCAGCAAAGCTAATAGTGCAAAGAAATAAAAAATGCACTTAATACAGAACAATGTGTACTGAAAAGAAAAAATGATGTATTTAATATAACAGTATTATACAAGACTAAAAATGTACGTAAGTAGGAATACAAAAGAATAAAGTGATGATGAAAATAAATTCATTACAGGTGAATAGAAGGCTCGTTTAACAGCATGTTTTTTATGTTGTGTTTAAAAGACGTATTGATTCCAAAGATGAACACTATAGAAGCGAGCTGTAGATCTGCCATAGTTGGATTTGATTTTAGGTAAAAGCAGGTTATTATGCTTGGAAAACCTGGTATATTTAGCAGGTGGTATCTGCCTCTTATAGGAGTTGCAACACAAAACTTTTACATCTCATCTTTCGTGTTGCAATAAGTAGTTAAGCATTGGGGAAATCCTCTGCTGATCTGAAACAGAGTACCCAGTTTCAGATTTAGTTTCAGAGAGCACCAAGGGAGGCAGTTTGTAAACACTTCTGCACAGGTGAGCACACAAAATAATGACACACTCGCCGTAAGCATGGCATAGCGTGCATGTGACAGACCGGGGAAAGAACATGTGCAAGGAGGGAGGCAGATAACATGAACATAGGGCGTAGGTTGTTTGTTGGTTGGTTACATGCCAGTTGCAAAACTGCATCCCAAAGTCCGGACAAACAATTGGCCGATTTCGCGGGAATCGGCAGACTGTTGTGCCATGTGGGAGCGCCAACGCTAAACACAAAATAATGCGCCTAATAGTTGGTGTGCTGATTAACAGGTGGCGCGACAATCTGCACACTCACGACATCTGAGCTAATGGTGTGTCTGGATTTTGATTCATGGAGCCTACGGGGAGTTTTGCAACTCGTATGATTGAATAACTCTGCTTACATCCAAATCAAAATGTTTTTTTAGCAAGATGTTTTGTTTTGCTTGCATTTGCACCCCACATACCTTTAGCTTGATTTCGTTCTGGGCAAATTAGTTGTTGATATTCTGCAGATGATGTTTGTCTGTCCACACAAATCTATCTTCAAGTTATTTCACCCTCGAAATTTCGTGTCGGTACTCCCCTAAGCAGATTACTAAGCTTTGTAATTTTACTGTAGTAGATTATCAGGTTAGTCAATGTCGACCTTTCAGTAGCACCAGCAGTTCTTGCATGAGACCTTGATAGACGTTTGCATGAGACCTTAATAGTTTAATTCTATCTGATGGTATTTAGCTTCAGCTCAGTTTCTGTACAAGCTCATTAGTAATCGACATTAACTTGCTTAACCCATTGGTTTCCACAGCCGATGTTCTGCCGGGCCTGACGGCGAGGACAAAAGCACTTTGATCGGCGAATTGCTGGCCATTCAGAAAATAAATGTTTTTGGCAATGTTTCATAGATGGCAACACATTATTTAATGTTTTCTGGATGTGTTGTCTGCTAGATGGACATGATTGTTCGTTGTTGGAGCTGTGTGTGTGGTGAAGGGTGCTCATTCCCGGCTTTCTCCAGCTGTGACGTTGCGCGAAAGCCCGTCCACCAGGACCTTACCATTGTGCCTACAAGCCACCGAGTGGGGTCATTATTCTCTTCAGATACTGCCAGCTAAAATTTTAAAATAATCCCTCATAGCTGTGCTTAGTTTGTTTGAAAGGCACTTGGCAAAAAGTGCGAGAGTGGATTCGGAGTGCTAAAATGCCCCTGTGCTTCAAAGTTTCTTGTGCGCAAAAATTCTATTTGAACAGTGATGCAGTGAAGCATTGCCAACATTATGAAGCAAGATTTATTATTGTATGACAATTTTTGCGGATTTTAATATGATTCATCTGCACCGACCCATGCCGCCAGTGGGCTCAAAATTTTTCACGAGATACTAAGCGGAAGCCAAGGGGTCGTTAATTTGATCTCTTAAGCAGAAATGCTCAGTTGTCTGTGGATGTGGAGGTTTTTATTCTGGCTGATTATGAGATAATGAACAGTACAGACACTAGTATTTTAGCATAGTCTATTTGTTCTCACTTATGGCCTTTACTTTTTTTTATTTGGCAGACATTGTTGGAGAGCAAAGCAGGAGATCTGGGTTCATTGCAGAAGCCCTCAACAAGGTGAGAGCTCGCTGTGTGAATGAAGTGCTGCGTTGCATTGTAGTCCTAAAATGGCATACGGTATTCAACAATTTTTTTTTTAAACAAACTAGTATTGAGGACTGAGCTTGCGTGTTCTGTTACAAATGGCTGCGATGGGGCAATCATGGGTGTCTGATGATGTCTGAACCCTGGTGAGGTTAGAAGTGTGGGCTCACGCAACACTTAGGAAAGTGCTTTATTCAAACAAAAAAATATTGAGAGCTTACAACTCATGACAATGTTTGCGAGAAGCACTTTTCAGAGAGTGACATAGACAACTTGCAGTATTATGGCGAGCAGCAAAGGAGCTGTCTAGGCTTAGCCAGAGAAGAGAAAAAAAGTTTGATGAATCGACAATAATTGTGCTCAAAAATGCAATGTTGGTCGCAAAGTTGCAATTTGTTAACATTAGTTACAAGAAGAACGAAAAAACTCTTTCAATGCAACTTTCAGTGCTGAATATTCTTTGTCAACTTGCAAATATCTACGTGAAGGTAGCTCACCAACAGATGCAAATTATTGTGGGGCTGTTCACCAGTCGAGGGGGGCATGGTCTGACATTGTGCATAATACTGCTTGCGGACCTGACATATAGAATAAGGTCCATCATTTCTGACACGTGACTTATAAGGCCCATCATTGGTTAGAACAAATGATACCTAGCCTATCGAGCTCGTGCCAGCTTCATTTAAAAGGTGCCACGAGTGTTTTTTTTTCTCTCTTTCTCTCTCTCTTGTCCATTACGTGACTCGAACGATAGGGGGAACCTCAGTGTCATGCTGGACTTTTTCACTAAATTAGGACATGCGAGGGAGTATCATTGTGCCTCAATTCTTATTTTTGTGGTTCAGCTTAAAGGGACAACAAAGTCAACCATTAAGTCGTCGTTTATTGTTGAAATTGCAGCCCAGAAACCTTGTGGTGTTACTTTTGGGCTAAGGAAGTGCTTATTTCGAAATAAGATCACTTTTTAGTTGTCCGCATCGGGTTAGCGCACTTCAAATTACCCGCCCAAACGAAATGTCTCACATCACTATTGCCGTGCACAATGTTGCCCAGCTTTACTGCACAGCTGCCAACACTAGTAGCAGCAGAATGAAAGCAGGGAGAGCCACAGCAGCAACAACAGCAATTCAACTATTTCCTGCCATTCGCTCAGAGATGGCAGTCGTTATTGGTTCAACTGGGCCCCGGTATATGGCACGACCTGTCGATGCAAAAATTGAATTTTTTAACCACTCGCATCATTCCCCATAGTAACGTCCGGCAATTTTTTTTTTTTTTTTCGCTAATCAAACAGAAATGAACAAGCGGTGTTTTGTTACGTCTCTTGATGCACAGAAGGTTTTCTTAATTAGTGCAGCTAGTTCGATTACTAGGGATTAATTTTCTGCTGTTCTTCTGACGTCATCAGGATCATTTTGAGAATGTCCTACTGCCACGCATGTGTTCGTGTGCATTCACCTTAATTTCCCAGGAGGTGGGGCTCCTGCTGGTGATAATATTGTCATTTTAATGTTCTCATACAATGAGCTTTCACTCTGATGTAAATTGTAGTTTGACTTCAGTGTCCCTTTAAGAGTAAACAACCATGTACATGTAATTTGTAAGATGGCATTCTGTTGTTTATTTGCTGCTGTTGTCGATGTACCACTCTGTCTTCAGCGGGAAAGTTGGCAGAGTGATGGAGCAGCCCCGCAGTTCGGCGGCGACAAATGGCACATTGGCATCGCGGGCCGAGTCGGGAGACTCCACGGGGGCTGGCAGCCGGCGAAGGCGTCTCTGGCGGGTGCTCAAAGCTGCACTGCCCGTCCAGGTGGCATTGGTGCTGCTCTACTGCGTTGCCTGTCTCCTGGAACCGCACTGCTGTGACCTGCTCAACAACTTTCACTCACCGTTTGGACCGCAGCTCAGGTACATATTGTGTACTATGTACCTTTGATCAGCTGTCACTTCAGGCTGCAATTGACTCTAGTGTACACATGAAAAAAAAAAACACGATTGCTTAGTAAACATTTCCCATTGAGTAGCATTAAGACATAGCTTAAGCTCAGCTCACAGCCACCTCTAATTTACCCTCTGAGGTACAGATATGCATGCATGTAACAAGCCTGTAACAGACGAAATACCGCCAACAATATGTATGCTAGAAAAATTTGGCAACAAGCGACGTGCTTGGAAGGCTTTCCACCGGCAGCAGAGGTAGAACTGCAGAGGCATGTTCACAGACAATTAAAGTTGTACGGTAAAATAGTGTCTTCCACACTGGCTAGTATATTTTTTCTGACAGCTTTGTCCACTTGTTTGCAGATATACACACGGGCCGCCACCTATTTAAATGTCCGTGGCGCAGCTCTGCTTCACAACTTGACACATCTGTGTGCTTTGAATCAGCTCCATGGTGCGATGAGGCCCAAGGCTGCAAGCCTCTTTCTTGACTGGCCGAAGTGATCTATGATTGCACACCCCTCCAGTTAGGCAGAACATCCCTCTCAGCACATTGCATTGAATGCTCAAGGAGAGGAGGAGTCCACAAAAGGAAAAAAAAAGAAAGAACACTGCCACAAACTTCTAAAATCAACGAGCTGCATCATCTCACTCGGGGCATCACTTTCGACTTATTGCGCTCTCATTTCGATTTGTGTGTAGGTTTTTTCTGCGACATCTCCTTGTTTGTTGTGTGTGGCTGCCATGCTTCTTCTTTATTAATGCATAGCGGGATGGCACACCAACATTTCTTGCGTGAATTTTCTTAGAGTTATCGCAACATGCATGTTATTGTGCTGTGTGCGTAAATGATGTGCCAGTATAAAAGACGTCATTGTAAGAAAAATTCGTAGAAACTGTAGGACTATTGATAATAAGTGCCTTGCACTAACTCTATAAAAAAAGAAAGCTTCGATTGTTAAGGCAGGCAGTTGAAAATCATTTGCTTTGGTTTCATCATTATTTATTATTTCAGGTTTTGGTGACATGTTGCTGTTGCAAGATGAAAACATTGGCATGGCGATAGCTGCTGAAATAGATGTTTCGTGCTTCTTGTAGTGGCAAGTTACTGTTGCCTATATAAGCAAAAATGAAGCACTCAGTTTTCATAAGCAGCTATTTCCGAAGTTCACAGCGACAAGACCACGACATTGTTCATGTGCTTTGCACATTAATCATGTTTCATCGGTAGGAGAACACAATGACAATGCATGACTACATTATCCATATACAGGCGACCAAGAAGCACTTGCATGTTTTTACTTTCGTGAATATTTTGTCTTAGCTCTTACATTTTGGGGTTTTGTTCAGTGTGTTTATTATGGTTATTGATGTCAAGTGTTTGTGTATTGTTTCCTGCTGCTACTCTGTAATGCAGCAGTCTCCCATTGTCAAAAAGAAAAGATTACTACAACCATGAAAGGCGTTCGCAACTACACCAAATGTGGTCACCGACCTCAAGACCAGTTGTAGTTTAAACGTATCACAAGTTGAAGAGGGATTCAGCTTCCTTTATAATAATGTCACAAGGCTAAAGATGCTACATTGGCTAATTAATTGCATCTTTAGTTTTTACTATCCTTCCTGATGGATTTCGTCTGAGAGGCCTTTATTCATTTAAGCAACACAGGAAAGTTGACTACTTCCATTTACAAAAATATTGACTGTACGAGTGACATTTTGAAAAAGTGCAGCTATAAGTGCAATGCTTGCTTGAAAGCAGTATCATTAATGAGAGAAAAAAAAGGAGCTCTTAAAGTTGGTCATGGTATTGAAAATTTGTGAAACGTATGTATGACTTAAAACACCACTTGCAAGGCTTCTTTGATACATATTTTCACCTCATGGTATAAATTGTGCATGATAGGAAATGCCTAGCTCATCGAGAGAAGAAAAATGTTGTAACTTTGCTTTTTGGACGCACTTGTTATGCCAGTGACTTCCATTTTTTGCAGGCAACTTTTCTTTCTCTCTCTCTTTTTGACTTTACAGATTATATATGTATGTGCACACCTTTATTTCCATGAGACAGGGGCCAAATAAAGTTTAGAACATATATTGCATGCAGGTTTTTCATGTTGGTGAATATGTTGAGTGCTTAGTTTGTCGTCCTTGTGTTGTTCTGCAGCATTAAGTATGAAGTGTTCTGTATGTTAGCTTGGCATTGAAGAGAAAGCTTACATGGCATGCGTTTTTCTTTACTTCTGCATTTGTGTTTTCTATGCATGTTATTGTTTAGCCATTACTGTTTTTGTAGATTTTTCATTATTCTCTGGACTCTCAATCAGAGCATCTTGCGAGAAATCATATCAATGTCTGAAACACTCATTCTCACTCTTTTTTTCTGGCATTGTAGCTTCGTCGTTTGCAGTTTGAGACAGTTTGCTCAAAGATAAATCACACTGGAAACTGAAAACATGGAAAGTGAGGTTTGGTTTTTGCGTAATACCTGCAATCAGCAGATTTCCTGTTTTATCACTTTAGAACATTGTAGCCGTAAAGTTCATGAACATCATTTCTCTACAGGTGATATTAATTATGCATCATTCCAGGCTCTTTACTAGTTCAAATTCGAAATCCTGTTGTTACAAGTCAGGCATGTGAAAGCGAGGTTCAGTTTTGTAGAATTTAACATAGTTTCCTAGCATAATCGTATACATCATCGAGTTGGCAATTTTTTATGTGTGTGAGAGCCGTTTCTATGAAGCCCGCATGTTATATCCTGCTTGAAAAAAAAAAATTATGAAAAATCTTTTTTAAGTGCAATGTAAGTGAATAGGCTTATTTTAGAAGTCACAAAAAAAAATGCTGTGTTGATCCATTCAAGGATTCATTGGCATCAAGTAGCTCGTAACCATCATGGGGAAAAAAAGTTTAGCTCAAATTCTTTCTTTTTTTACACATATACTTAAGTACGTTGAAAAGTGTATTGTGCCTTATTCCCACCACACGAAGCATGAAAAAGATTACACTGTTGCCATCTCTTGGAGTTATCGTAACGTTTGCCAGAAGGAGAGCATTACATCTCGGTGCATTGAAATTGTGTTGCTAAACTTGTTTCTTTATTTTTGGCAATGGATCTGCTGGAGAAAGTCACTTAGAAATATAGGCAGGCCACGATTGTCTTGATGCTGTGATTCTGGTAGCTTACGTGTAGAGGAAATATTTTTCTACTAAATAGTACACGCAATGCCTGTGCTCACTATATTGATGATGTGTTGCAGTCTCCGCAAATGACTACATGTTTACCTCTTCCGATCATGTTAACTTTGAGACTCCTGGAGAGTGAAAAAAAAGGAACATTTTATGGATACTATTTCTTATAGAGCTTGTTAGTATTTTTTTAAGTCGTGCAAACGGCCACATCTCTGTTGTTTTGTTGCAATCTATAGCCCACCCCTTCACTGGGAATAATTTTTTTTTAGATGTTTCTGTTAGAGTGTTAATTATTTCTCTCTATTTGATGATGTGGTCAAGCACCCTTTTTTGTTAAAGATTATCAGTTTTAAGTCAAAACAACCCGTGGTGACACAACAATTTTTTTTATTACTGTACTATTTATTATAAAGCACAACTTCTTGCTGCCTATAATCATGATTTCGGTTAAGTGCAAAACGTTGATGCAAGATAATTGCAAAGGCAGAAATGCGTTCGCACTATCTAGTCAGAGCAAGAAAAATTATTCCCATTTGTTTAGTTTTTTTTTTTTTCCTCAATGAAACAGGCCTATTTACAACCACCAAGATAGAAGATAGATACGACGCCTTTGTGGAGCAAGAACTCGCATGGCTTCCAGTGTTTGTGAAGTAGTTTGCAAAGACCAAGTAGTTTTGTATGCATGTGCTACGCTGTGTATGACTTCACTAGTGGCCTTTTTAGATGTGTGGAATAAAGTGAAGATTATTGTCCTTGTCTGCCTCGCCTGCATTTTATAATGTTTGTGTGCTAGGTCACTGGCCTATGAATCCAACACTTAGTGGGTTTCATAAAACTAGCTTATAATTTAGCAAGCCTGCATTACGATTATAAATTTGTTGACTTAGTGAGCTGGGTCTATGCAAAATTTGTGAATACGTGTTGCCTTAGCCGGCATTTCAACAACTAGATTTGTCTTCCTCAAGGTTGCAAATTCACTTTGCATCCTTGAAGACGAGTTCACTTGTCGAAAGTCAGCTCCAGCAATTGCATGTTCACGAATTTCTCATCTTTTTCAAGCTTAGGTCTTCCTTTGAACTTCAAGCTTCAATGTCGGATGTTTGATCGGAAGACAGTGAAAACCTTGGGCCAACGAAATGCCTCCCTCTGAAAAGTAGCAGTGGTTCCGGTTATGTTGTATAACAACTGTTGTGTCTTCCAGGTTGAAACTCTCAAGAGGCACATCTGCTGAGATGGTCACCCAGCCACTTTTTGATGCCAACTTGTTAGGGTTGTTGAACCCTCTATGCTTTCATTAGAAACAGCTGAAATGTAATAAAAACATTTTGGTTTACAGGAGGAAAGAAGAGGGCTGTATTCCACAAATTACTTCAGCTGAATCCTGAAATTCCCATGTTTTAAATGTACAATACTAAGTGTATTGTATAGCCAGAGTTGCCAGATGCTATGCGGTTAACAAGGGAATAATAAAACAGTCCCCACAAAAAATATGCATACATCTACACGAAGTGAATAACCTTAACCGTGCATTGCCCCATATAATGTGAATTGGGTGACAAAGTGTATGTGAAATGTAAATTGATTTTCTGTCCAGGCTGCTTAGTAAATTCAGGGAGGATCTAGAAAATTGATGGAGTAGAGGACATGCCTGGAAGGGAATCTGCCCATCTTATAGGACATGCCTGAAAGGGAATCTGCCCATCTTATCGCCTGTAAGATGCTATTTTAATTTGGGTAATTTATTGAGACAGATGGTGCTCAACATGTGCCTTGGTGTTACAGGTTACTTTGAAAAGCCTCGACATGTGAGCACATTTCAATTAGTGATCAGCTTGTAAATAGAAAGATAGGAAGAAGCCCAAAAAAAGTCGAAATTCAATTTATTTTCTAAAAGGGGGAACATTCGAAATGTGGAATATTCTTCGAATACTGCCATTCGATTCAATTCGCGCTGATATTATACTATTGAAATTTCCCGAAGACAAATAGCCAACGTCCAATTGGCAGTGACCCTTTCAAATTTTCGATATACTTCGCCTGATCACACTCGTATTTCGGCAAAACTGTCTATCCGGTTCTGCAACGGTTGCAAATTTGAGATGCGAAGCAGCTCTTTTGACTAGCTTGTGTAACGCTGTTCGTCCGTGTCTCCGTGTCAAAGCGCCGCACCGCGCCCCCCTCGCCGCAGATGTTGGGGCAGTGCCAGTAGGTCACGCCTTCCCTCTCAGTGCGTGGTGACATCACTCTCTCCCTCGCCTGCCGCGCGCTCGCTGCCTGTCACCTCTCTCGCTTCACTTTCTTCACCGCTCGCAAAGTTCGAGCGAACATTGAGTGAACACTCTTTTGGCTCGTCCTTCTGCGATGGAGGATGCCGGAAAGCGAAGCGACTTGGCTTTACCCGCCGACGCCGCCGTTGTGAGGGTTAGCAGAGCATATCGCGTTCGCCAATGGCGACTTCGTGCCTAAATTACCGACGAGACGCGAGCCAGGAAAGTCGAACGCAAACGTTGGCAGCGGAAGACCAACGCACCGACGAGGCGCGAGTCAAAAACGCCAATAGCGTCCGTGCGCAATGCTGCTGCTTCGGCATGTCTCCTAGGCTTACAGAGGAACGTCAAACAACACAGTCGGGAAACAAGGGTGAGCTACATGGTGGGGTCCTTCCCGCGTAACGTACATCCACAACACAACGAGGGTAGGCGCCAAGCCCGTGCACGAGTCATCCTGAAGAGAGTTAGGGATGATATTGACTCCGCCGTATTTGTGGACTTGTCGACGTAGCACAGTATAGGTAACAGTGGAAAATGGAGGGGGGTGCTTCGCTCCTCCGCCTCGGTAAAGGCGGCCACCAGGGTATAGCAGAGCAAATCGCTGTAGCGGTGGCCTTGTCCGGCCCAGAGCGTTCCTACATTTACACCGACTCAAGAGATATAAAACTAGAGCTAACCAAACCTCGCTCTAGAGGCGGTCTCCATTCTAGAAAAGAGGGCTTGTCGAGGTTATCATATTATGACTTGGTTCCCCGCACACATGACGAAGAACGTTTTCGAAGACTTCCCAAAACCTCAACGAGCTGGCCCCATGATCGTGCGCGAGAACTTACGCGCTGCGACGGTCTGGAGGTTACGGAGGAGCAGGAAGGAACTCAGCAGAACGATGCACTACTCACATTCAATTAAATAACCACGCATTACCAACTTGGCAGAAGAATCTATCCTCTTCCTCACGCGAAGCTCAGCAGAGCACCTTGAGAATGTCGCAGACGGGGTCTTTCCCGTCGCGGGGATTCTTAAATAACATGTACGCGGACGTTGACCATAACTGCCCTGACTGCTATGAAACCGTCTGCTCTATGGCTCACATGCTTTGGCAATGTCTCGCGCTGTCTAACAACCTTCTCTCAAGCGAAGCCGAATGGGAGGAGGCCATAAGAAGTACGAAACTCGGCAGGCAAATCTAGGCAGTCCAGAGGGCTCAGGAACGGACGGAGCGTCACGGCGTTCTGACCTCTACGTGGGCGCGGCCAGTGGTTACAACGGCCCCTCGTAAAGAAGGTCCTGCAGTAACTGCCCCGGTTCTATTAAAGTTTGCTGTCTGTCTGTCTGTTTGCCTTCCATGAATCAAGTGTTCTCGGCAGCACTTTGGTTGCACCGTCATGTACATAAATACAATTCGGCCTCTGCAGAACCCTATAGACCCCTTGCAAAAACGACGGCAGCACTGGGCGGCGACGTCCATGGTAAAGGAAGAAACGACCACAGAAAGAGTGCGTCCGCTTGGCTTCGTTATGGCAGTGACGTACCACGCGATTGTTTTCCCCACACACTGTTGGGTGTCACAAACAAGCGCTCCGAAAAAGCGCGTGCCGTCGAATTCTAAATTCTAGCGACAGTAACGATACCAAGTGCAGAGAGGCGCCTCAAGGTCAACGATAAAGAAAACAAACATCCAAAGTCTCCCCGGGTGGTGGTGGTTGTAAGGAAGAGGAAAAAGGCACCTAATTTCTGTCTGCCTCAGGGGCGACGCGGCGCAGTGCCTTATAGGGGTGGGGTTAAGGAGGGATAAAAAGAATAGGAGGATATAGATGGAGAAATAGAGAGGCAAGCGACGGAAAATAGAAGGAGATAAGAAAGTGGGTATCCGGTTGAAGCAGTCCAAGGGCGGGGCACCACAATGCGAGAGCTGCACGGCGTCAGGAGACCGCGGAGGGCGAACCAGTCGGCGGGAGCTACGCTGGCGTCGGAGATCGCGAGGGCACGTCCGTCCAGCTTGAAATCCTCCCAGCGAATCCTAAGGCTCCCCGGGCGCGGCGTCTCTGCCCCCTCGGAAGCGTAGTTCGCCGACTAACCTCCTCACATCGGCGGCCGAGCAAGCCCTGAAAGGTTCTCGAGGGAAAGGGGCGTGGTGATGCAGAGTTGCGTCACGTGTCGCGGACGGCCCTCGAAACGTCTCGCGCTTTCCCCAGCCTTCGCTGCGCACCGCGCCGACGGAAACGATGAGAATTTTCTGGAATCTAGCGGTGGTGGTGGTAGTGGTTAGAAGATGAGAAAAGGCACCTAATTTCTGCAACCTGGTGGGAGCACGGCGCAGTTCCTAAAGGAATCTAGCGCGAAGGGTATTTAATCGAGCAGGGGAGATGGGAGATCAGGAGAAGAAGGAATTTCACGCCATTGAAATTCCTTCTTCTTTTTATCAAATTCATTTCATCATTTTGACGGTCCATCAAATTTTGCTCTTATACATCGACCACTTGTTCGAAAGCGCACATTCCTTGGCTTTTTCGTAGAATAAATGGCCAAGGACGGACGGAAGCACGGACGTACGGACGCTTCGCCCCACTCATCATCATCCACTACGCGTGGATATGCTGTTGTGGCTGCTTGCGTGGAGGGAGCCTATAATCGATTCTGTAGGTATTTTCAATAAAGTTTAACTATCTCTCTCTCTTTCTCTGCTCGTAGCCATGGTACTGAAGTTGTGTGAGGCATCTTTCGTGCAAATACTGACGCTGTTATTGCATTGTAATCGAGGTGTCTCTCGCACGGTGCTCCGTTACGAAGTGTGAATAATCCAAGAATGCGGGTCGATTTACGTCTCGCAGCTTTCACACACCAATGATTAAAGTACCACGTAGGTGTACATGGATTGGATGGACCTACATGGATTGGAATGGAGCACTTTATTTCAAAGAAATTCTTCCGGCGAAGGTGGAGTGGTTCTTAGACAGAAAGGAAGAGAAAAGTGAGCCCCGTAACTGTCTGCATCATGGTACGACACCTAAACAGCAGCTCACAAGAGATGGGGGTAAGGAGGGATTAAAAGAATATGATTAAAGGTTTAGAGAGAGAGAAAGGTGCGCTAAGCCAGCGAGCGAGGGCATATCGAGGGGATAGAAGAGATAGGAAAGATGGAAACACGGTCACAGGAGTCCGAGGACGGGGCACCACTTGCGAGAGTTCTTGTCGGCGTCAAGAGATGACGTAGGGCAGGTCCAGTAGGTCAGAGCTGCGCTGTCGTCGAAGGTCGGCGTCACGAAATGATGTAGGGCCAGCCCAGTCGGCCAGAGCTACGCTGATGTCGGAGATCGCGAGGGCCAACCGGTCGGCACGGAATCCAGCGAGCGAGTGTCGGCGAAGGTGGAGCCCTACGTCATGTGCTCTTTGGCCTCTATTGATCAGCTTGAGCTGTTCTTCAGGCTTCGAACAGGACAGCACAGCCTCCCACTGGTCTGGTGTGCATTTTCTTGGTACTAGTGAGATTAAATGTGATTCTAACAATTATCGCGCCAGTGGTAATAGCATTTACGTAACAGAAGATGCCCTGGCGTACTGCTTTTTTGTTCTTCCCGCTAAATTATTTTCAGCATTGGTAGCGTTATTCGAATGTTCGGTCTCTGCCGGCGGCAGGCTATCTTTCCGTTCATTTTCTTTTTTCACATTAACATTACAATTAATAGCAACGCAACACGCCCGATTCAACAGCGTAGATGTCAATGGCTGCCTGTCGTAATCAGCGAGCAGAAAAATACCATCATCACGGACCCGTGAGCACTCTCTTAATTGGTCCTTTTCTGCTTCGCACCCCGAACACGTGCTCCCATATATTTGTTCGGCACGGCAGAGTAACGCGGTTGTGTGAGAGCAAGTAAAGAGAGAGCTGCTGGCGAATGAATCATTTTTGACGATGAAGCAATAGAATTTGCATACAACCTGCGCTCCGCAAGAGAGCGTCATTCGGTTATCCAGGTGTGATAGCAGAGCATAATGTAGCCTTGCAGGCCGTGTGAGAAAGAGAAGCGCAACTATTCGTCGTGCCTGTATCGTTCTTTTACACCTGTTCACTGCGAGTGTTCGACACAGAACCATTCTACTATTTTTCAACTGCATGTGAGGAAGCAGTATTAACGTGACGATGACCGCTGTGCTTTGTGCACCTCTACAGTAAATGTGAGACATTTTTGGACTGCATAAGTTATTAAGTAGAAGAAATGGGTTGTACGCTAGTGAATATCGATGGCGCAAGATAATGATGTACGCCAGAAAATAAATACAATATGAAGTCATGACAGCTTTAGTGCTCTATGAGTGCGCGATGGGTCACAAAAAGGAAAAAAAAAAGGTCGTTTAGTGTTCTTGCTAATTTAAAGCGTAATAAATTTGCAGCCGAGGTAAAAAGCCACATCGGTATTAGAGACAACGTGCAAAGGCTTCCTTTAATTGCAAGCCGCTATAGCTGGTCGGCCAACGGAGTGGTGGCTTCCATCAATCGCATAAGTCACAAAAATCGCTGACACAGCACCGTATATAAGCTGTGATGTTAAGTAGCCAAACAGCCTAAATATATTCAATTTTTCAAATATGAACAGACATTTCGTTCAAATTATGTTGGTCGCTGTTAAGAAATTCGCTACAGCGAAAATTCTTTTTGTCCGAGTATCTTAGACGTGTCTGTTAGTTTTCATTTATATGCTGTTTAACAAAGAAAACGAGCTCTTAAATTTACATTTCCTCCCTTGAATGTGCAGTGTGTTTTCTGGGTAGGATTATACACTCGCAGCGACCATAAGCAAAGTGAGCCGACCAATGGTAGCATTCGTCTATTGCGTGATCAAGGCAGAGAACACCGCCTATTTGTCCCTCACTTCTTTAGGGCGAGGGTTCAAGATCAAGATAGTCCCATGGCGCTCGCTCCTAATCTTTTGTCAGAAATTTTGCCGGTAACTTGTGACGAGGCAGAGCGGCATACAGTACTTTATTAAAGACGACACAAAAATGGCGAGAAACAATCGCATTTTTTTATTTACTATCACAAAGGCAATGAGATCGGAGCGGCTAATACATATTATGACAGCCACCCATAAAATTGTCAAAAATACATATTCAGTCAATATAGATACAGGGGTGTGCAAACAGTGGAGCGTGGATGACGTTCTTGAACCTCCATGACACAACTTCCGTGCGAACACAAATAACAGTGTTCGTAAGAACAGCTACAACGAGCGAATCTCTCCGCTGCAGGTGCTCCACTTGCACACGGCAGAAAAGCCAGCATATACGAGATCAAATTTCCAAATCAATAATCGTGCATATACTAATATCATTAAAAGCAAGCTGAGCGAGCTGCCGTACACAGTAAAACTGATCACAACATTTTTGAGAATGGAATAACGAACGCGACGAACGAAATCCAGCACCCACACACATTCGGCGTGCTTAGATATAAAACACGCGCAAAAAGAAGAAAAAAAATACTTTGCACATCCCCTGATATATAAGAATACATAAGCTTAAAAATACCTTTCAGAGATATTTTCGCAACGTACACGTTGCCGGCACGGAGTAAGGCACCGAAACATGTAAATAGAAGGCTTCGGAAACAAGCGTCGCTGCGTTTGGGGACGAAGGCCTCAAGACGCGCCCTCATGCGCTGGCTGAAGGTCTTGGATCGTTCCCGCTTCCGCGGAGTCAAAGGGCAACACAGCCGCGGCGGAGTCGATTCAAGGCCAGCATGCATGCGGCGTAACTGGCACTCGCCCAATCGCTTCGAAGCTCGGAGGACACACTCGTTTGCTTACGCTGTCCGAAAGAGGTCGCCGCGAGAATTATTGTAAAGGCTTTCTTACGCAATCCTTGACGAGGACGAGACACACCCACGGTCGGCGCAAAGGAGCGCGTTCTTGACCACGAAGCAGGAACACGAAATAGTGAGAAATAGGTCCACAGCCCCACCGACGTTTAAAGAAGGCACACAAGAAGGCCTGTAGCTGGTTGGGTTCTAGCGGGATGGCTGAACCCATGGACAGAACCTTGCCACTACGGGACATGGCCCATGAATCACGCGGCAGCAGTAGTTGTGAGCATCGTCGGCGTCTTCGTGTCCCATCTATGCACTCGAGTGGATGATGGGCATGCTACAAGCCGTACGGAAAACACTTGGCACGAAAGGGTTGTAAAGAACACACGTTATGTGGTACCGAAGAAATGAAAACGGACGCACGCGCCCCTTTGATGACATGTGATGACATCAGAAACCACATGCTTTCAAGCAAGCGCGTAAACAGTGGCGGTGTGCGCCAACAACGCTTATCCGCAATGATAAATCAGAGCGCGTGACCAAAAAGCCTCGTCTTGTGGTTCGCGCACATGATTGCAGAGCTGTACAGTCACTGTGAACAAAGGTACAGCAACGATGGTATGAAACTGCTGCTAGCTCGCACCCGTGGAGACAAGTCTGAACACGTTCTTGAAGGCACTTGGATGCATCCAACACAGCACGGCTAGTCGAAGCGGAAGAACGAGAGAGGAAAAGACCGCCTCCGGCCATTGGGAGGCCTCCGGCGCGCGAAGTCATCAGCGATGCGTCGCAGCTGCACTCCGGCCATAACCGAGGGATAGCTGGGTACCCGCTGTTGCTCCTCGATTCTGGGCACCAGGTCGGGCGGTAGCGTGGTCCCCACGAGGTTCACCAGGGTGGCGGAGAACAGGGGAGGAGGCAAGAAGAGCAGGTCAGGGGTCGGCCGGGGGGGATTGCCGCCGGGGTGAGCGGCCTCGCTGGTCGGCCACTCACCGAGCGACGACGTCTGCGTCGCAACGTCCACCGTGTCGCTGGGCCACAGCGGCTGCGGCAGATGCTGCCTTCGCCCCGGAATCGGAATGGCGGCCGAACGCATCTCGCTGTGTTCCACGGCGGCGTCGAATTCGCTAGCGGGTGGCCACTCAAACGTCGCTCGGGCCGAGCTGAATGCGGGCGATGGTTCATAGCCAGAGTCCGCGTCCGATGGAAGCGACTCACTGTGAAGAAGTGGCCATGATGACGAACAGTTTAACTCTTCCGCCGTTTCGTCCCCCATGACGCTGCTACTGTGCGCCTGCAATGTTGATGGAGGGGGGGGGGGGGGCACGCCGCGGGTGCCCCTTTGCGACTTCCTTGTAGCACCCAGCAGCGTTCTGTTGGCTCTCGGAGACGGGCGCAGCGAGCGGGCGTTCCCCCACGCGGACAACACGTGACGCAAACATCACGTGACCTGTCTGAGTCTGCGCAGCGCCAACGCTGCGTGGTCACATGACGTTCCCCTCTTTCATTACTCTCTCTGTGCTGCCGCTTTCTGCTCCTTCTCTCTCAGCTCGAGACCCGTCGCGCGCTTTTTCTTGTCTTTCACTCCTCCCCTACAACCTTCCGGTAACTGGTTTTCGGCGCGGGGCCACGGGGCATCGAATCTGTTCTCCAAAGGGGCGATCCTCCTACCAGCGGGGCCAGGTGCAAGCCCCCGCGGTCATCTTGTCGTCGTCGACTTGAGTTTGTGTGCGTCGAGAAGGGGGAGACGCCTTTTTCTTCCGCAGCGCCCCCTCGGACTGGAGAACTGTCGCTCCCAGACCGCGGGTCGAGGGCGTCGTTTCCCCGTCCATCCGTGAGGAGGAAAAGCATGCAAACGCAGAAAGCGTTCTCCCCTGCTGTTTTTTTTTTTTTCTTCCGATACGCGCTGTCCTTGGGCTACCACCAGCACACGTGCACGCTTCTGTTGCCGATAGCTGGTCGCTGTGGGGTGGTAAAGAACCATACCGTGTCGAGTTATCGAACGCTCGGCAGCTAGTAAAACGAACGTGGAGCACTGCTATCTCAGCAACAGGCGGCTACGACGCACTGCTGCTACCGATCTGACAACGGCACCAACACTGTGGATACGGGAAGTGAAACCTTGTTACAACGAGCATACTGGACTGCTAATCCTTCCGGCAAATGTGTTGGGCACAGTAAGACAGAAAACAAAAAGAAATCGCGCAGGTGGATCACTTGTACGCGCTGGCCCCGCGCGTTCGACGGATTAGAAGGGATTGAAGTCACGCTAACAGAGCGGGAGGCAATTCAAGCCGTCGCATTGATCTGCTAATAATAACCAGCTGAAATGCTCCGAAAGCTTGCCTAGCTCGCATCGCTGGGCAAAAGGAAGTCATTGCAGTGTAATGAAAATACAAGCACTTGGTCAGGTGCATTCATTAACGTTGATTAAAGCGCTTCACATTTCAAGGCATTCCGTAAAGTGTGTCAAAAAGACCAATATTCAGGTAAACGGCATTCTCAGGTTATCAAGTGTACACCTGCACTTTTGCAAATTCTCTCAAGCAAGGCTCCACTGGTGATGCAAAACTATCAGTAAATTGAGTATATATAGGCTTCGATAGTTCCTCGAAACTATTGGTAGTGCAAAGAAACTGTTGCCAGTAGTACTATCGATAAACTATCGGTAGCATTATTCATATATAGTGCAATTGGAAGTACCGTCAGCAATACTATGCCACTACTGCGAATAATTAGGCTGCCCTTGGCCAACAACATCGCAAAAACATTTGCGATAGCCTACTATCAACAGCACTCAGTGAAATTAAATTTATGAGCAAAATTTTAGCGAAAGAAATAAATCATTCACTGAGTGAAAATGTCGGAATATGGGCATCAATTTATCCATAATCAATGGTTACCAGTTACACGTCAAAATTAACGAAAAGAGTCCTTTATAGCGCTCCAGGGAGTTCATTTTGTTTTGAAATGACAAAATGCAACATAAACTTGTAGACAGTTCCACGACACGTGCCAGCTTCCTTCCTTTTCAAACGAATAGTTCAGCTTGATTATGATGCGTGAGCCAACTGCACTGGTGAAAGAGAAGCATGTGAACTTTCTTGTCACTCAACCACCTCCGCATGCTCGGGGAACTAAGTTTATGCGACAGTGAGTTCGTGCGATTGTTTTTGTACGATCTATCATAGCATCGAATTCGCTCCATTGAGCAGCTATGAGACCCACTTTTCTTTCTTCACATTTACTGTGCGATTCGGTCTAATAACTTCCCCTATAATAATAACTTCCCTGGCATGTTAGATCTCAGGATTATTGTGTCAAAACACGAAAAAAACGAGCCCTTAGGTATACACTTCTTTCCCTTATTTACTGACTAGGGTCTCGCACCGGCAGACTTGGTGCCTTTATGTTGTATACGAGGGACTATTGATCAGCTGCCAGTTCGTAATAATTTCACGTGCTACGTGACGCCAAAAAGGCTTATAAAGAGTGTGCCACACACTCCGCCATGGCTACATCCTCAGCTGTCGTAATAACAGATATCTATCTCTCTGTGCGGCACTTTCTGTTGGTGCTTGATAATCAAGTAACAAAGGCGTTCCAAGCACTATTGCCTGCGCATTTAAGAAAAGTCTGATTAGTTTGGGTGCCTGGACATAAAGGCTTATTTCTAAATGAAATAGCCGATTCCTTAGCTCAGTCATCAATTAGCGGGCCGATTCTACTGAACTGCCCATCATCCTCTTATGTTACTGCTGCTCGATTCCGCAGACGTACGCTTATGGAAGTCTTTGTAGGTGCAGCACTAGCAAACTCTACCGAATATCGCCATTTATTACATCCCTGGCGAAGAGACTTTTGCCGAAGTCGTAAACAAGAGGTATATAGCTATCACAAGGCTACGTTTCCGGGCACCAAATCTAAATTTCTATAAACACAGGTCTGCTCAGGCACCTTCACCACTGTGCGCGTTCTGTGATGAACTTGAAACAATTGATCATTTCTTTTTTACCTGCAGGCGTTTTAACACATTACGAAAAACCCTTTTAGAAATACCTTTACGCTGTATTGGTATGGATTTATCTGTGTCTGTCATTTTGTCTTTTGGAGCTTCCATTTCTGGGTTCTCTAATGCGACAGTATGCGCGGCCGCCCGGAACTATATTGATGAAACTAATAGGTTGATTAATTAATATGTTTCATTATCCTAATGTGTCTACAAAATTGTATACGTATAAAAATCAGATTATTGCTTTATTCTAAGAATAAACTTGTGTCTTTATTTAAATATTTATATGCATTAGATCAAGCACCACAATTTCCTAGGTCATCGGTAATCTTTCTATTAAACTGTTACGATGGGGCATGTTTATTGAAGAATGAATGGCGAAGGGTAGCCGCGCCGACACCGAACTGCTTCCAAACATACCACTTCGTCCTCGATAGTTACAGCGCGAAAACAACTAGCCCAAGCTGTCACACTTCAATCTCCTCTTTCTCTCTTCACACGTTGCCGCTTCAGCGTAAGACTCCCCAGAGCATGATAAAGGAACACCAAGTGGCCCTCTATAGCTGGTATGTATTAATGGTAGAAGACTATACGCACAGACACTGACCTCAAAGGAGTCGGGACACCATGCAATGCCGATTGCAATACTGCCCAACGAAAAATTTTCTACATCCCTGTCTTTACGTACTCCTTATTTGCTGCTTATAAGACTGAAGCCAGCCACGCCAGTAAAGGCGCGGCTTTATTCGATGGCTCCACAATCGAGCCACATTCTAACTGCAATGGCAAAGGTATGTATTGCTTGCTCTAAATGCATACAACTGAAAACAAATTCCGCACGAGTCTTGAATATATGATTTATTAAAAAGGTAATGACGGCAGACTGCCCAGTGTTTAAGTAATAACTTATTAGGATTAATTACTATAACTCGATAACAAGGCTAATGTCTTTCCTGGAATATAATATCGAATGCATTGGAAACTGTTAGTCAATTTTGCCATTTCCAGGCAGTTGGTCACATTTCATGCGGGAATAGTGTTGAATGAAAACTCGTTGAAAATAAAAATGAAGAAAACCTTAAAGGCTCCTTTTTGTTAGTCACAACATTAGAACTAACTTGCAAGATACATGGAAAGCATAAGGGGATGTTATTAACTATGATGTAAATATGAAAAAAAAATGGTCTAAAGAAACTCGCAGCTGGCAGGGATCGAACCGGCGGCCTTCAAATAATGCGTCCGATGTTCTACCAAATGCGATACAGTGGAAAGCATCCTCTCGTCCACTTTGCGGAGTAGATATATGCATACAAACCTGGGAGCGTAAGTTAGCGCCACTGACAGGTATACGACGCAGGTGCGGAAAACTTGCTGCCTGCTGGCACCACGAAGCACGCGTGATGTTTACGAACTGGCAGCTGACCAAGAATGCCTCGTATACTAGCATAGGACATCCTGTCTACTAAAACGAGACTCTTGCTATGAACGAAAGTAGAAATTTATGGGTTCGTTTTCCTATGTTAAGCACAACATGAATCAGAATAAATTAATTAGACTCGCACTAAGAGCAACACGTAATTAAGAGCCGTAAATTTAGAGGAAGAGACATTGCAGACCCGGGTTCCGAGATTGCTGTTAGCGTATGTGCACAACACTGTAGGAAATCTCATTCAAACATAAGAAAAATCCGTTGAATGTAGACATTGCACGAATATACCTTTCACAGCGTAATCGACTACGGCCACCAGTATGTGCAGCCGAGTACCTTAGACCACCGCGGCGGGGCGTTCTGTTAAGACTGCGCGTGAGACGCGAACAACCGAGGTTATTCCAGAGCTGTCGCGACGACCATTGATAGCGCTAGAATATTCTACGGCACATGTATAAATGCCGACGCGCGTCACCGCTTGTAGTTGATCGACGACCGACGTTCTGTTCGCCGCTATCAGTGCCAGTGTCTTGCTGTAATCTAACCTTCCTTCTATATGGCCACAAGTTCGGCCTTAACCTGAACACCCAGTCTGCTCCCTTTGTCCGCGTCACGACCCCGTGACTATACATGGCACACGTTAATTTTTATTCGAAAAATATACTTTTTTTCTTTCGCATGATCACTCCAGTGTTGAAAAGTACTTGCGCATCGATTCCGGCTTTACAGTGAGATAATCAACCTAAGCTGTGGCATTGAATTTCTAAAAGCACTATAGAGTACGGCGAAAAAGACTGACCTAATCTAGGGCTTGAGAATTAGTGAAAACTAATCGATTGCTCTCCAAGGCTTGCGGGTTTTGCGTGACTGTTAAATTTCGCTAAAATTACCAGTACACACTCGTAAGGAGGACGCACATAACAAAAACACAACAAGCGTG